CTCCTGCTCAGATAGTACTCCGTTCACAGATGTGATCAGGTGGCTTGTCCTGTCATCTGTGTAACCTGGTTGTGTGGAATGCACTGCCCGCCAAAGATTGAGTCCACTGAGACACATTTCTCACCTCACTGGAAAGGGCCTATCGCTGATGTATAGGCACAATGCCCTGGCATCAGCCCTCTTCACTCCGAGTCATCAGGCCCCTTTAGACTCTGGCATCAGCCCCCTCAGACTCTGGCATCAGCCCCCTCACACTCTGGCGTCAGTCCCCCTCCGACTGTGGTGTCAGCCCCCTCACACTCTGGCGTCAGTGGCTTGGCTTTGGCTGTGTTGCAGCTGACGTGGATGCCTTCAACTTGCTCCTGGAAATGAAACTGAAAAGACGGCGTGAACGTCCCAACCTTCCACGTACTGTGACCCAGCTAGTGGCGGAGGATGGGAGCAGAGTGTATGTGGTGGGCACTGCTCACTTCAGTGATGATAGCAAGAGGGATGTGGTGAAGGTAAACACTGTGCCCCCTCCCCTTTTTATTTGAAGATGTATTTATTATATACACAGTGTTCTGCCTGCATGTATGTCTGCAGGCCAGAAGAGGTCACCAGATCTCATTACAGATGGTTTAGAGCTACCATGTGGTTGCTGGGAATTGAACTCAGGACCTCTGGAAGAGCAGCCAGTGCTCCTTACTGCTGAGCCACCTCTCCAGCCCAAGCACTGTGCCCTTTTACTGCTATGCTTCTGCCAGTCTGACCTCCAGGGACACGGGCCAGGGCAGCCCTGTTCAGCAGGGATTTCTAACTCTGGAGTCCCCTGGGGATGATAAGTGGTGCTTCCTGCTCCACACCTCGGAGCCTCCTGCTTTTTCTTCATTTTAGCAAGTAAAGCATCACACAGCTTTCTTTAGTTGCTTTTCTCTAGAATTTGTTGCTGAAGCTACACAGGCTGTTAGCACTGGCTGCCCCCTGATGTGGGCTCCCTGCCCAGTGTGGAGCAGCTGTATGGAGAGCAGTAGGAGGGGTCAGTTGGAGTGTGGTGCTTGCTTTACAGACTATCCGGGAGGTGCAGCCTGACGTGGTCGTCGTGGAACTCTGTCAGTACCGTGTGTCCATGCTGAAGATGGATGAGCGAACGCTGCTGAGAGAGGCCAAGGAGGTCAGCCTGGAGAAGCTGCAGCAGGCTGTCAGGCAGGTACGCAGATGACGGGCAGTGGGCTGTGAGGACCTGAGCTGATGACAGGCTCCTCACTGGGGCAGTCTTCTGGTCAGTGCCGTAGCACCCTGGTTGCTAGCCTACTCCCTCACCTGAGAGAGGATAGAGGCTGAAAGAGGAGGTGGAGGTCCTGCTACCAGACAGGACCAGGGCAGAGCTGAAACCTCTGTTCTGCTAAGCTGAAGTGGTGGGTGTGAGCATTGTCTGGGCCACCACATTGCTGTATCAGTCCTGTCTTCCACATTGCTACAGCCCTCCTGGGCTAGGCGAACTTGCGTGTCGTAACACATCACTGAGGTCTAGTGTTCAGAGGCCGGCAGGCGTGTCTTGCCTCAGCTGCGCTCACTTCCTCTTTTGAAGGAAACAAGTGCTAAAGTCTCATGTGAGTGTCCCCAGACATGCTAGGCACTTGCACCCTGGAATCTCCCAGATGAGGGATGCCACAATAAACCATTTACTGGATACCCAGTAAAAGGAAGTCACCATTCCATCAGGGACCCCCATGTACACCCTCCTTGAAACAGAGGGTCCATCCATACTCTACTGGAAAAAGAGCCAACTGGCCAAGCCATGTGCTCACTGCTGAGCCCATCTGTGAGGCAAGATAAGGGTCAGCAAAGGGAAGAGGCTGGCACCTGCTGCCCCTCATCCCCTCAAGGAGTCTCCAGTGGCACTGTGTCTTCCCAGCAACAGTGTGTGATAACATCCACTGGTGTCCGGTTCTCATTGTGGGTTGGACATGTGGACACAGCTGACCTCATCGGCTCTAGTTCCTACAGGAGTCAGTTGGGACTGCCTGACTCACGACCCCATGAGCTGAGCCTGGTAGCACACACCTTTTATCTCAGTACTTGGGAAGCAGTGACAGCTGGATCTCTGAGTTCAAGGGTAATCTGGTCTTCTAAGCACGTGCCAGACTAACCAGTGCTACATTTTATTTTTTTTAAATACTTTTTCTTTTCCTTTTTTTTTTTTTAAGATTTATTTATTTATTATGTATACAGTGTTCTGCCTGCTTGTACACCTGCAGGCTAGAAGAGGGCACCAGATTTCATTATAGATGGTTGTGAGCCACCATGTGGTTGCTGGGAATTGAACTCATGACCTCTGGAAGAGCAGTCTGTGCTCTTAACCTCTGAGCCAACTCTCTAGCCCCAGTGCTACATTTTAAAAAACAGACAATATTAAAAAAGAAACAAGCCCTCTGCCCCACATACATCTCATGGTTAGCCTAGACTTTGCAATCTGTCCCTCCAAGTCAGGTAAGGAAGGACATTTCTATTGAGTAAATTGTCACCTGATCTCAAAGGGCACTTGAATGATTCAAGAGCCAGACCTTCCTGGGAAGGTACAGAGTAGACCGTCTACCCAGCAGCTTATGGGGTGATTCTTCCTAAGCAGTATCAGCCATGCCAGGTGAGTTTTCAGCACACTGACCCACACCTCAGGGTCCGTCCAGCCTGGCTATACCAGAGGCAACCAGTGCTGTGGCCACTGTAGATGTTAGGCATCCATGTTGCTCTCTACAGATGGATGTGGTGAGTACGAAAGCTCGCTGTTAGGTGCTGGACTCCAGTCTGTCTGTTCAGCATCAGCATCAGCCTCAGCTGCCCAGGCAGGTGGCCCCCTTTCAACTTCTTTGACATCCTATAAGGAAAACTGGTTTTCTGAGGAAACACATTTGAATGATTCTTGAGGCCAGATGGCCTGCTGTTGCGACCCTCTTCATGTACCAGTATGCCCTGCCCCTTGCCACTGAAGGGGCCTGAGAGCAGCCGTGGCTGAGGCCTGGCTCAAGGGTACCCTGCTGTCCGCACACTGCTTTGTCTTGCTCGCTCTGTGCAATGTAGCTGACATGGTTCCTCTTCCTGCAGAATGGGCTCATGTCTGGACTCATGCAGATGTTGCTGCTGAAGGTGTCTGCTCACATCACTGAGCAGCTGGGCATGGCCCCTGGTGGCGAGTTCAGGGAGGCCTTCAAGGAGGTGGGTGCGAGGCATGGCTGAGGGGATTTGTGGACACATTGGTAGGGGCTGGTAGCATCTACCCATGGCATCACAAGTTCTAATGCCCAGCCTCTTCCTTTCTTAGGCCAGCAAGGTACCATTCTGCAAATTCCACCTGGGTGACCGACCAATCCCAGTCACCTTTAAGAGGGCCATTGCTGCACTCTCCTTCTGGCAGAAAGTCAAGCTGGCCTGGGGCCTGTGCTTCCTGTCTGACCCAATCAGGTAGGACAGCCTCCCCAGCCTGTCCATGTCACACTCCGCACCTACACCTGCTGGATTTTCTGACCCAGGCTCCTCACATGCTTCTCGTTATCCTCCCTCCATAAACTCTGAACACGGGGCTGTGGTCCTTTCCCATGTCTCCATCCCTACGATCTGCCCCAAGTCTCTGTTCACACCCCTCTCTTCACACCTCTGCCCTCAGCAAAGACGATGTGGAGCGCTGCAAGCAGAAGGACCTGTTGGAGCAGATGATGGCAGAGATGATTGGAGAGTTCCCTGACTTGCATCGAACCATTGTCTCCGAGCGCGACGTCTACCTGACCTATATGCTGCGGCAGGCCGCACGGCGCCTTGAGCTTCCCCGCGCCTCTGATGGTGATGGACAGGTCAGGGTGGGAACCCCAGAAATACTGGTTCCAGTGCCTGCCACTGATTTTTGCCCTCCTCTGACAGCTGAACCCAGGAAGTGTGTCCCATCTGTGGTTGTGGGTGTCGTTGGCATGGGTCATGTGCCAGGCATTGAGAAGAACTGGAGTACTGACCTCAACATCCAGGAGATCATGACGTGAGTGCCTCCCCATGTCACCCCCAGTGCCTGCACCTGCACATGGTGGTGACCCATGGGAAGACCTTGGGAGTACCCGTTCCAGCTAGGCCTGCCATACTTCTTCCTTCCACAGAGTACCCCCACCATCCATCTCAGGCAGAGTGTCCCGGGTGGCTGTGAAGGCTGCCTTCTTTGGTCTGCTGGGCTATAGCCTGTACTGGATGGGCCGTCGAACCATAAACCTGGTCCTGTCACTGCCTGCTGCGCAGTTCTGCCTCCAGAGGGTGAGCGAAGCCCGGCCAGGTCGGTAGGAGGACCGTGCAGCGAAGAGACCGCACCCGGGGCTCTACTCCTCTGCATCGTGTCTGGTGCTCCTGAGGAGCTGGAAATACCTGTCTGGGGATGTCCCTGGGTACAGATGCATCCAAGCCACCCCCTATGGGGGCCTGGGCCAGGCTCTCCCCACCCTCCCCATGCCCAGCCCACCCAAATAAAGAATATTAACTCTCTGAGCGCAGGCTTCCCAGCCCCACCCCCCACACACTGTAGGGCACCTGTGGGCATCAGGGCCATCCACAGTGTCAGGACCCAGCGGACTCGTTCCAAAAGGACCAGAAGCTGAGGGGAGGCACTGAGGCACCCCACTCTTAGCCCCAGGTGGGTCTGCAAGCTGTTGCTCTACCTACCTCACTGTGCCTTGTGCTCTGGCTGGCAGGAGCATCTGGCCCTGAGTGCATCTCACTGTGGGTTTGGGGCCGGCGAGTTTTGGGTCTGGGTGTCCATGCACCTCCTCCCTGGGAGTAGGCCCTTTGCCTGGCCTGGACATGCATGTGGCATTGCCAGCTGCATCTCTGCCTGCAGAGAGTCTGTGGTATGGTTTTTTGGGGGTTTTGTTTGTTTATTTTTTGTTTTTTTGCTTTTTTTTTTAATGTCAAAAAGTTTTTTACTCAGGTAATTTTGACGTCAAAGAGAAAACAAACTGAAGCAAATATCAGGAAATACAAGCCTTAAATCCAGTAAGGACAAAGAAGTCATCTTTTTATTTGTGTCTGTGTGCCCTGAGTGGGCAGTGTATGTCAGAGAGTCAGCTTGGGGGTTCAGGCCAGCCTCTACTAGACTCCACTACAGCTTAGAGTGGCTTGGGGCTGCCTCAGATATGAGCCTGCAAGGCTGCCCTTGGTGCTGGCAGGGCCTGGGCCTGATGACTGTGTGTTAGCTGGGGATGCCCAAACCGCACTGAGGACAGTAGGCATCTACCATGGGCCACGGAACTAGGGCCATGGTTGCTTTGTGTGCACCCAGCCATTTGTGTGTACAGGCTGTGGCTCCTGGCATACTGCACAGCCTGGCAAGACCAAGACCACATTGATTGTCCTTGTGTTGACTGCCAAATCAGGTGAAACACTGAGCTGGGCAGGGGCTACAGGGCTGGATGGGCTGTGTACTTCTGTCCTCACTCGTGGATTCATTCCCTAGAAAGAAATAAATTTTAATTTTGGAAGCTCCCGCTTTGTGAAGTGTATGGAAATGGGACACAGATGATGGGGACTGGCTTCCTCTTTTATCATCTGTCCCCAGGTCTGCAGGGTCCTGGGACTACCCCACCTCAGGCTGGACCCTGGTGCTCACTACTGCCTAGCAAGGTTATCTGTGTGCCAGCCAAGGTGAGCCATACATGTGCCCAGCACCTGTACACCCTCTGGTTCACACTTTACTACCTGGCAGTGGGAGAGGGGGAGTAATGTAGGAGTGGATCAGAACACCATTAAGGTAGGTTGTTCTTGCTTGTGTTAGGAGTATTGAGGCTGAAACAGCTGTATATCATTACCAGGCCAGAGCAAGGCAGACCCTGAAAGTAGTCAGTGAAGTCTGTGTTAGTGGCAGCATGAAGAACACAGATGCTCTGGCCAGGGCTAAGGTGCTACAGGCTGCTGTCACAGAAAAAAAACACATACCCACCATCTCACCTCCCATGCAGAAGGAGAGAGTATTTGATAGTGATCACACAGCTCCAGGGGGCACACCTAAGTTCATTGCAGGGTTTCTGTTCTGTGGTAGGGGGTGGTTGGGGTTTTCTTGTTTGTTCAGTTTTTGTTTTGTTGAGATGGTTTCTCTGTGTAGCCCTGGCTGTCCTGGAACTCTCTCTATAGACCAGGCTGGCCTTGAACTCAGATCCACCTGCCTCTGCCTCCCGAGTGCTGGGATCAAAGGCATGTGCCACCACATCTGGCTTCACTGTAGTTTTAGAAGCCCACTATAGCCCCAGGAAAAGTTCCAGAGGTGAAGGAAGAGGATGAAAAGGAAAGAGACACAACCAGGATGGAATGTTTGCATTTGTATATGCTCAGAGTCTCCTGTTGGAGACTAATAGGTCTTTCTGAGCACTGGATCCTGGCCACCTCTCCATCATCAAGATTCATATCCACCTAGATTGCAAGTGACAGACACAGAATGGAGAGATAAGGCAATACTACCACTTCAGAGGAAAGTTCCATGTGCAAGAAAAAACTGACTTGAAGCACCAATAGGGAAGCACTTGGGGGCAAAGAACCTAGCATACAGGCAGAACCAGGTTTCAGGTAGGCTCAGAACCCCAGCTGGAACCATTGTCCAATCTCTGCTTTGCCCTTGCCCTGGTACTATTGCTGACCCAAATTATTCTTGTATTAAATCTTAGGTGGCCAATTCCCATCTGGCCAACAGATGCCAGGAATATTGCCAGGACTTCTGGCCCTTCTCTGGGCAGAACAAATGAGAAAAATTGTCCTAAAGGCAGGGCACTGCATATTCCACATTATAGGAACATATATGTACTTCATTGTAAAAGAGAATCTACATACACACGTTAATAGTGTACGCCCAGTGAAACACAGAAGCCATCCAAACAGCTGACTCAAGAAGAATGGAGGACTAGGGTTTGGTGTTTGCAAACCCTGCCTACAGAGAGGAGATGATGAGAGAAAAGTATCAACACCATAAATCTGAGACAAGATTGACCAGAGGGGCAAGACTAAACTTCGAAATGACTGACTCCCTTTGTTTACTTACCTATATAATCGGCTGGATAAAGATGAGATGGAAGACACATCTGTTGGCTGTCTCAATAAAACAGTCAAAGATTCCATTTCTGTTTCTATGCATGTGATAGACAGTACCAGCCAAACCCACAGTACCCAGGGAATGACCTTGGCTTCACCACTAGTTGGGGGACCCTGGTAGTTTTTTAGGGACATCACTCAGCCTGTAGGCATACTTGGAGTAGTCCAGTCTGGCGTATGTCACCTGGGTGGGAGCTTTGGCACTCGGCTAGCCTGCTGCACAGGTGTCAGAAGTTAAAGAGCGTCTCAGGTCCACCCTCTGCAACACTCGCCCGGAAGTGGACAAACGAGAGGCAACCAATCAGAACCAAGTTGCTGGGCGTGCCTCCCACCAGCCCATAATTGGGCGTGGATAAACTTCCGGTCGGGGCGAGCGGGCTTCCGGCGACGCGGCGAATGGCCTCTTTCAGGGCCGCGTTCGGGGCCTCGCTCGCGGTTGCCCGAACCCGGCCACGGTGTGTCGGTCTCGCGCTTCTGTCGTCCGCGCCCTGGTCCGCCTGGGCTGCTGCCATGGAGCCCACGCCGCGTTGGCTGGCGGGGCTGCGCTTTGACAACCGCGCCCTGCGTGCACTGCCGGTAGAGACGCCGCCGCCCGGGCCGGAGGACTCCCTGTCCACCCCGCGGCCGGTGCCGGGAGCCTGCTTCAGCCGTGCACGGCCGGCCCCGCTGCGGCAGCCGCGCCTAGTAGCGCTGTCGGAGCCCGCACTGGCGCTGCTGGGGCTCGAGGCCAGCGAGGAGGCCGAGGTCGAGGCCGAAGCTGCGCTCTTCTTCAGCGGCAATGCGCTGCTGCCGGGCACCGAGCCCGCCGCGCACTGCTACTGTGGACACCAGTTCGGTCAGTTCGCTGGGCAGTTGGGCGACGGCGCCGCCATGTACCTGGGCGAGGTGTGCACAGCGGCCGGCGAGCGCTGGGAGCTGCAGCTCAAAGGCGCCGGCCCCACGCCCTTCTCCAGGTGCGGAACTCCCGGAGTTCCCAGGCGACACCCTTCTGTGCGCGTGGGTGAGAAGGGAAGGTCCTCAGTGGCGCTTTCGCCTGAGTAGGGGCAGCCGTATGCCCAGGAAAACTCCTTGAAGGGGTTAGGACCTAGGTGGAGCGCCTTTGCAAAGGGTTTTGTGGAGGAAGGCAAAGAAGCTTGCAAGAAAGTGCCGAGTGGCAAGACGGAGAAAACACGAAGTTAGGGGCGGGGCTTACTTTCTGGCTGACACTCATAGAGATCTCCATCTGCCAATTCTGTCAGGTGGAAGGGACACACCTCTAATGCCTGTCCGTTGTGTTTTCCAAAACACACAGCGGACTTTGGAGCCAGTTCGACGAATGATAACTGTTTGCTAAACATCTTGCCCAGAGACTAGTTTTCAGAAGCAATGTATTGGACTGGTCTCCAGACCTATTATTTGGAATCATACTTAAGCAGTATGCTTCCTTAACTTGTCCAGTCTCTAGCAGACACTCTGTGCACTATCTAGGGACTGTGGGCACAATCTGTTCTTATACCCATTCTCCTAACCCTGTTAGTTCTATCTCGCGCGCAGGCACACACACTCACACACACAGAAGTTCTTGGATCCCAGTGGGGAGTACCACATGTGTCCAAGACAGTCCTGGATCCAAAACCATACAGGCCCAAAGGAACAAATCATCTTCTTCCTCCTCATTTTTTTGTACTTTGGTGTTTTGCCTGCATGAGTTGGATCCCCTGGAACAAGAGTTACAATTGTGAGCTGCCATGTGGGTGCTGGGAATTGAACCTGGGTCCTATGGAAGAGTAGCCAGTGTTCTTAACCACTGAGCCATCTCTCTAGCCCCAAGAAACACTTTTTTAAAATTTATTTATTTATTTATTTATTTATTTATTTATTTATATTTTTTGGTTTTTCGAGACAAGGTTTCTCTGTGTAGCCCTGGCTGTCCTGGAACTCTCTCTGTAGACCAGGCTGGCCTCGAACTCAGAAATCCGCCTGCCTCTGCCTCCCAAGTGCTGGGATTAAAGGCGTGTGTCACCACTGCCCGGTGGAACTCTTTTTTTAAATATATATATATATGTGAGTACACTGTGGCTGTCTTCAGACACACCAGAAGAGGGCATCAGATCCCATTACAGACGGTTGTATGCCACCATGTGGTTGCTGGGAATTGAACTCAGGACCTCTGGAAGAGTCAGTCTGTGCTGAGCCAAAGGAACTCTTCTTAACTAAGTCCTGCTACCCAGGTACAGACGGGTCTTGGGGGCTCTGTTCCTGTTTTTCACTACATGATTTATACAGGTTAGATGCTTGTTAGATGAGAAGAAACAGGAAATTGGGCTTTTATGGTTTCCCACTACATCTGCTTCTCATCCTTCCTTCTGCCAGCCACACTAACATGCCAACCAACTCCCACCAAGCTGCCCTCATGTCTCAGAATAGTGAGTCTTCCCACCCCCAGGGCAAATTTACGGTCTCATCTGGCCCCCTGCTGCTCCCCTGGTGGGTATGTCTGCAGTAACTGCTGTAGGGATGTTTGTAACACCTGTGAGGACAAAAGCTGGAGCCTTGAAGGTGGCAGGGTGGAGTGGGGGCCTTGAGGAGGAACACGGGAGATGTCTTCACCTGGATTTAGCTACACCAAAGCTCTTGGGGAACTTGGTTCAGAGTAACCTCTGCCTGACCGGCTCCTCGGCCTGTGTTTGATTTCAGACAAGCTGATGGTCGCAAAGTCCTGCGGTCAAGCATCCGGGAGTTCCTGTGCAGTGAAGCCATGTTTCACCTGGGGATCCCCACCACGAGGGCCGGGGCCTGCGTCACGTCTGAGTCTACAGTGATACGAGACGTGTTCTATGATGGTAATCCAAAATATGAAAAGTGCACGGTTGTGTTGCGTATAGCTCCCACTTTCATAAGGTAATGCTGGGGTCCATTAGGCATGTCTACAAGCACTTATAGATCATACAAGATCCATGCTCGTGCAGCCAGAATGTTGAGCCAGCTCCTGAACAAGCAACAGCACCTGGCTGTGGTCAGGATTTAGCCCCAGATGCCTCTTAATGCAGTGACTGACTCATTAGCCTAGTCCTTTCTGCAGACTCCTGTCTTGTCTTCACCTTAGCTTGGTGTCCAGCCCTGCTGGGGCTGTGTGAACGAGGAGGTGGCTAGTGTCGCGTACTCAGCACTCACACCACACACAGCCACTGTTGGCCTCTGGCTTTTTCCAGCCTCAGTGAGGATGGAAAGAGGCCAAAACTGGTAACTGCTGTACTGTAGGGGCCCTTTCCCCTAACTTAGCTGACTTTAGAGGTCATCCTGTGCCTTGTATACCGTTGAGAGCACCACTGGCCTCTGCCCACTGATTGCCAGCATCAACCCTGTTACAATTTTTTAAAAAATGTCAGCTGGGTATGGTGACACACACCTTTAGTCCCAGTACTCAGGAGGCAGAGGCAAGTGGATCTCTGCATTTGAGGCCAGCCTGGTCTACGGATTGAGTTTAAGAACAGCCAGGGCTATAGAGAAACCCTGTCTCAAAAATTTCAAAACATAAAAAATGTTAAAAAAAAAAAATGCCCCATTCATGACTGATCTCCCTTGTGGGACAGCCAACTGGCTGAGACACTGACACTTGCTTTCTGTGGTAGATCCAACCCTGATTGTCCTCACAACGTGTGGGGTGCACACAGTCCTGTATGGGGTTGGAGCTGGCAAAGTAGACAGTCATGGTAGTTTCTCGGCCTGATGAGTCTCCCAGAATCTGGGAACTGGAGGCTTATTGGCTGACAATTAGCCAGACTGCGTCCTGCCTGCCATAGCTCTAGCAGAGCTCTGTACGTGCTGCTTTGTTTCCCCAGCGTACTTCCCCATTGTATGGCTACACAGCCTTGTGGCCACAGCCTCACAGCCCTGTGGCCACGGTGGTTTTGATTTTTTTCGAAAGATATGATCCATTGAACCCTGGGATCTTTCCTGCAGATTCGGCTCCTTTGAGATTTTTAAGCCTCCTGATGAACTCACAGGGCGTGCAGGCCCTAGCATGGGACGGAATGATATCCGCGTCCAGATGCTTGACTATGTGATCAGCTCTTTCTACCCTGAAATCCAGGCTGCCCATAGCTGCGACACTGACAGCATACAGAGGAACGCTGCCTTTTTCAAAGAGGTAGGCAGAGGTTCCCCACTAGCCATGGGTTGAGTTCTCCTTGTCAAATATGTCGCTGCGACCAGGAACAAAGGGTTTTATCTGGTGTCCCTGTCCTTTTCTGTTCCTTGTTCCTACATCCAGGTCCCATCGTCTCCCACAGCCTCATGAACTGGGCAGCCTGGAGATACTTAGGGTTTTTTTGTTTTGAGACAGTTTTACTTAGTGGCATTAGCTAGCCTGGAACTTCTATATGTAGACCAAGCTGGCTTCAAAGATCTGCCTGCCTCTGCCTCCTGAGTATTGGGATTAAAGGTGTTCATCACCACACCCCATACACCAGGGCATTTTGATGATGTGACATTAAGACACCTGGTGCTGAGTACACCTACAAAGACCCAGGAGACCTAGCTAGTCCTGAAAGGAAGGACAGATGGGCAGAAGCACTGGTGACTGCTGGGTTCCTACTGCATGGGTCAGTCACCTCAACCCAGCCCACTCACCTGGTATCTCAACTTGGGGGAAGAGATGTGAACTCGCCCAGCAAGGACTAGCCATAGCCCTGTTTCTGTGTGGTGTGTATGCTAATACACGTCATTGCCACTGGTCAGCAGAATATTCCAAGCACATGTCCCTGGGGTCACACATGGGTCCACAGCTGGTTACTCTGTTTCCCACCTGTGGCACCACTGCTGGGGATACAGTGTGACAGCCACAGAGCAGGAGCTAGGCTGAGCTTTATGCTCTCACAGAGAAGCAGATGGCTGATAGTCAGCATACACTGTCCCTTTAAGCTTCTGCTTCTTGACCATACTACCTGGTCCCTGGCAGCTCCTGTGCTCCTGATAGGTAAAGTACAAAAGGCTACTTGCTTGGGCAGTGGGAGCTGAGATTCAGTCCTGCACTTGGGGCTCCTTTCTCCAGGCTACACTGGAGCCTTATGTTCAGGGGCTGCCTCTGGTTGGGTCACTGGATAAGCAGTTGGTAGCATTACCTTATAGCTCCCCGAATGGAGATGGAATAGCGGGTCTTAGGAAATCTCATTCTGGACTGGTCTACCTAACAGTGATGTTTTCCCCCAATATTGTTATCAGGTCTTCTTCCTGGGACTCAGACTGTGTTGCTGATTTTTATGGTTTACCCCAAATTGGTAGTGTTTAAAAGAATCAGTGGTGAAGATGGGACTTAAGGCCATAAAAACCAACTCATCCAAACCATACTCTAAAACACTGAGTGGCAGAGGGATTGCAGAGCCCTGCACTGAGACCCACTACAGGAAGTCCACTGGCATCAGGAGGTGCACTGGGGTGCTCTGGCATGAGGAAGGGCAGATGGGCAGCAACCAAAGTCTGCTCTGCTCTAGGTGACACGGCGAACAGCACGGATGGTAGCTGAATGGCAGTGTGTTGGCTTTTGCCATGGTGTGCTCAACACTGACAACATGAGCATCGTGGGGCTCACTATCGACTACGGACCC